ATGTACCTTGGCATCCCCATCCAAAAAGATAGTTGCAGCCTCTTGAGCAGCTGCCTAAAAGCATCAGCAGTTTAATAAGACTCCAAGACAGAGCATGGGGCAGAGCAGCTGGAAAAATTCAGAGTTCATTACTTTGCAGCTCTTCCTGGCTTAGCTCCTGCTAACAATTCCCTTGATTCTGAGGAGAGTATTTGCGGTAAAAAGACTTTTAAAAAGATTGCTTTTACAATGTCAGAGCAAAATTATGGAAAGAAGAATAGCTGCTATTTTTGAAAGCAAAGCATAATAAGAATGAAATCTTATACACGCTTAGCTGGGAGTGAGTCCTATTGAAATCAGCGGAGCTTTTTCCTGAGCAGGCATGTCTAGCGATTGTGCTGTAAAGTATCTTGGCATTGTTATACAAAAATGTGCTCTGAGGCTTTCCCCCTTTTCTCTCCTCAGAAAGAAGATCCTTAACAATTGTCCTCCTTCCCTCACGCAGAGCACCTATTAGCACTCACTATTTTTTAGTGTTATTGAACATGATTGTACAGAAACACTATTGTGCTGTGCGGTTGCGAACTTTCCCTAGATTGCATGTGTATCTGCTAAGGTTGCAGTGTAACTGATGCAGACTCCACATTTCCCTCCTCTACCAGAATATTTTGTTCTGTTCTTAACAGCTCCCAGATATTCGAGGTTTAAGCTCTTGGGGCACTCCCGCTGCATTGGCCAACGTGTTGAATAAAATCCAAAGCCGTCATGAGTTTTGCACAGTAATCTGTGTAGACAGAGCGAAGCTTCTGTGATGGAGGTCATGGGGAGTTCAAGGCTGCTGACAAGGGCCAATTTCAACAGGCTGGGGGGGGGGGAACCTGACACCACTGAGACTCTGTACGGGATCCAATTAATGTGTAGGGGGTGATGGCTGCAGAACCACATGCAGCACAGAATATTCTAGAAGGCTCCACGGATATGGTGTAGAATGACCTATTTGTTGCACCAGCAAGAGACAGGAAAGAGAGTTGTCTGTAGGCGTTAGTATCAGTCTAGACAGGATATGTTCCATTTACCTGAGACCCTTTCAGCATAGAACGCCTCTGCTCAGAGACCTGTGTTGCTTCAAGGTCTAACTCTCAGTATATAAAGCCCTTAACAACTTGGGACCAGTTTACTTGCAGGATCGCCTTGCCCCCACATGTGCCGACGCAGCCACTCCGACCTATGGAACTGGCACTATCTAATGCGGGTGGCGCTGTGGGTTAAACCACAGAGCCTAGGACTTGCCGATCAGAAGGTCAGCGGTTTGAATCCCCGCAACGGGGTGAGCTCCCGTTGTTCAGTCCCTGCTCCTGCCAACCTAGCAGTTTGAAAGCACCTCAAAGTGCAAGTAGATAAATAGGTACCGCTCCGGCGGGAAGGTAAACGGCGTTTCTGTGTGCTCCTCTGGTTCGCCAGAAGCAGCTTAGTCATGCTGGCCACATGACCCGGAAGCTGTACGCCGGCTCCCTCAGCCAATAAAGCGAGATGAGCGCCAGAACCCCAGAGTCGGTCACAACTGGACCTAATGGTCAGGGGTCCCTTTACCTTTAATGTGCCATGTAATACTTGTTCCACATTTGTAAGAAATTGATCTGGTCTTGCAGCACTTGCACTCTGGAACTCCCTGCCTATTGACATATACCCTCCAAGGGTCCCAATTTTCCAGGGACAATCCCGGAATTACAGAATTCGTCCCAGTTTCTGATTTGATCCCAGAATGTTCCGGTTCTCCTTTTTCCCCTCCCCTCCACATCTTGGATAACAGTTACAAGTGGTGGGTGTGTAGGTGCAAAAACAGAGTCCTGTTTATGCTGGAAATAAAATGCCTGCACCCAATGGAGGAAATGGTGAAGCTGGCATATGAAGCCCTTCCTAATTCTGAAGGAAAAGGTCACCAATCCACTTTAGATTCTTTAATTGCAATGCTTCAGCAGCCGGCCATTTCTTAGGAAATGCGTGGAGAGCTTATTCCTTTATTGTAGATGGAGCCTTACATTGTGCACTCTCAAGTAAGTCCCATTGTATTCAATGGAGCTTACTCCCAGGCAACTGGATAAAGACTGTGCAGCCTTACACTGCCATCCTAAGCATTTTTACTCACTCCCACTGAGTTGAATAGGATTTACTCTCTGGTAAATTCCTGATAATTCTCACTGTTGTTGCTGTTACCCACCTTTTTCCCTGACAGGGACTCAAGGCAGCTTACAGCTAAAATTCCATTTATCTGTTGAAGGTGTTGTACATGAACCTTCCCTCACACATTTTTTATTTACAACAATACTGTGAGGTAGGTTAGGGCGAGAGGTTGTAATTGGCTCAAGGTGACAGATTTATATGTGTGTATTACTACAGGTTAGTGCAGACCAGGAGTGGGAAACCCATGGTCCTCCAGATGTTGACGGACTCCAACTCCCATCAGCCTCAGCCAGCATGGTCAATCATGAGGGATGATGGGAGTTGTAGTCCAGCAACTTCTGGAGGGCAGCTGGCACTCCCATCTCTGTTGTAGACAATACTGAGCTAGATGGATGGACCAATGGCCTGGCTCACGATAATGTTCCTGTGTTCAAATTTCATAGTTCTAATGGCATACTTCTCAGCTATTTCAAATCAGATTGTGCTGGCTTAGTTCTGCTCCACAGCTGCTGCTGCTGCTGCTTGAAGTCTGTACAAGCAAAGTATCAGTTTCTGGCTTGTTTGTATTGAAACACACAAACCAGCTTTTAGAACAGCAGCTGCACACTTTCTATCAGCCCCTTAGATGAGGGTAGCCAGTTGGTTTTAGGGCCACTGATGTCTCTGCCGTCCTGGAGAATGGACGAGTTTGCGACGTCAACTCATTTTCGGGAATGAATTCATCGTGGGCTGCATATATTTGCTCCTTTCCTTTCAAAACGGGAAAAGTGTTTTTGAAAGCTGAGCACTTACTCAGATTCCCCAGCTTGAAGCTCTACGCTAGGTTCACTTTCGCTGAGAACGGTTTTAAGATGCCCCAGTTGTTCTCTTTTGCTGGTGGATGTGGGAGAGAGGGAGCAATAAAGTATGATTTCTCCCTTGCCTCCAGCTAACCCCATGGAAGTGTATTTCCAGGGAGGTTACCTTCCCATTCCAAATCTCTTCTTGTCAGGATGTTAATGATTAATTGCCTGTGGTTCCACTTTCTTCCTTAACCTCCTCCTTCTCCACCAGCTGCTGCTCCCTTTCCTAAGAAGAGTGCTGTTGGCTGGGTCAGGCCATGGAAGCCCTCTACAGTGGTACCTCGGGTTAAGTACTTAATTCGTTCCGGAGGTCCGTTCTTAACCTGAAACTGTTCTTAACCTGAAGCACCACTTTAGCTAATGGGGCCTCCTGCTGCCGCCGCGCCGCCGGAGCACGATTTCTGTTCTCATCCTGAAGCAAAGTTCTTAACCTGAAGCACAATTTCTGGGTTAGCGGAGTCTGTAACCTGAAGCATATGTAACCCGAGGTACCACTGTACTTCAGGATCCTGCAACCACAGCGGCCAAGCAGATGTCTAGAGGAAGCCCACAAGCAGGACCCTCAGCGCAACAGCACTGACCCTGTTCCTAAGTCCCAGCAACTACAGTCCCCATGATTCTTTGTTTAAAGTGGTATGGTGCTGCTTCAAGTGTATAGATGCCGCCCTCCCAAATGGAGGGTGGGCATCTAGTCAATGGGCATGACTAGATCTAATGGGCTTGAGTGAAAGCAGAGCAGATTTTAGTTGAACATTAGGAAGAACCTCTTCACAGTAAGGGCAGTTCAACAATTAACCGGAGTGTGTGTGTGTGTGTGTGCTTTCCCTCGCTGGAAGTCTTCAAGCTGCACCTGGAGAACCCCCTGTTGGAAATGGCTTGGGCTGGCCCTGTGGAGGAGTGGGATGGGTTGTCTAATCCAACTTGCTGCAAGAAATTCAGAGTCTAGAGCATTCATCCCGTTAGGAGACACCCCATCCCGAAGCTGGAATTCTCAGAGCACTAGAACCAATCAATCCCTCTTCCCAGGGAACTCAAGTGAAGAGGAGTTTGGATTTGATACCCTGCTTTATCACTACCCAAAGGAGTCTCAAAGCGGCTAACATTCTCCTTTCCCTTCCTCCCCCACAACAAACACTCTGTGAGGTGAGTGGGGCTGAGAGACTTCAGAGAAGTGTGACTGGCCCAAGGTCACCCAGCAGCTGCATGTGGAGGAGTGGAGACGCGAACCCGGTTCCCCAGATTACGAGTCCACCGCTATTAACCACTACACCACACTGACTGAAGACGGTTGGAATATCATTATTTTTATAGCATGTGTCAGATTATGATGATTCTTCCCATCACCACCCCTGTTACATTTGCAAGAATAAAATGCATTAAAATAAAATAAAATCGAGGTGATCTTAATCCTAGTATTTTAAGTTTTGTATGTTTTGAAGTAGGGCCATGAATTCCCCACATTTTATCATTACCATTATTATTTATTACATTTCTTAGTTGCTTTACTCGCAACCAAAGAAACATACAGACAATAACCTCCCCGACCGAATACATTACAACCAAGAGGAAAGAGATATGCACTTATTTATCATTTTACAGCGTGACCTTTCAGGTCTGTGTGTGTGTGTGTGTAGTTTTTTTAAAACAAACAAACAAACAACCGAGCCGGGTATTAAATTGCATGAAATAAATAAATATTATATGAAACGAGAGAAAAAAAACACAACTGCCTTGCGAGGTAGGCTGGGGCTCACACAGATACCCATATCCAGCTTCCCGGGGATTAAAGGGAGGGATTTGAACCCGGCTCCCTGCGCAGCCTCACTCTGAAGAGAGGCACCCCCACCGGCTCCCCCCCCCCGCCGCACCCCCGGTTCCATCTCAGCCAATCCCTTCGCCCGGCAACCCCCCGTCCTCCCCCCCCCGTCCTCCTGCGGTTGCGTCCTCGGAGCCCGCTTCGCGCTTTTGTCCGCAGGCGGCTGCCGTAGCGAGCGGGGCGCGCGCGTGCCTGGCGCCGCCGCCACAACTACCGCAGCGGAAGCTCCTCCCACTTCCCTTCCTCCTCCTCCTCCCTCCCCTCGCCCGCGGCGGCATCTGGCCGGTGAGTCGGTCCGTCAGTCCCGTCAGTGAGCGAGCGAGCGAGCGAGCGAGCGTCGGGCTGCGTAGGCGCGAGAGGAGAGAGGAGGGCCGAGCAACGCTGAGACTCCCGACTAGCCATGGCGGCCGAGCTGAGCGACATGGCGGAGCCTCCCCCGCTGGGGGTGCTGCCGCCGCCGCCTCCTCCCTCTTCATCGGGCGCTGAGGAGGCCGAGAGCGAAGCCTCCCCTTCGGCCGAGATGGAGGCCGAGCCGTCGCCGTCGCCGCCGCTGCTGCTGCCGCCGCCTCAGCCCCTCCTGAGCGGCGGCGAAGGCGCGGAGAGCATGTCGGAGCCGAGCCCTCAGAGCGCCAGCCAGGCGGGCGACGGCGACGACGAGGACGAGGGCGACGACGAGGAGGAGGACGACGACGACGACGAGGCCGAGGCCGGCAGCAGCGCCGGGTCCTCCTCCTCCTCCTCCTCCAGCGGCTGCTGCAGCGACGAGACCCGCTCGCTCAGCCCCGGAGGCAGCGAGGCCGACGCCAAGGCCGGCCCGGGAGGAGGAGCAGGGGGCGGAGGGAGCGCGGGCGACGGGCCCGGGGGCAGCGGAGGAGGCGGAGGCCCGGCAGCGGCCGGAGCGGCGGCTGGAGGCGGAGGCCCGAGCGGCGGCGGGTGCAACAGCAGCTCCAGCGCGGGCGGCGGAGACGAAGGTTACAGCACCGGGAGCGGAGGAGGAGGAGGAAGCGGCGGCAGCAGCACCTGCAGCGCCTCGTCGGCAGGCCGGAGGGGCAGCCTCGAGATCTCCTCCGACGGGGAGCCGCTCAGCCGCATGGACTCCGAAGACAGGTCGGTTGGCGGGGGGGGGGGAGAGGGTGCGCCCGTTCTTCTCTCTCTCAAGTTTAGGGGGCCCCGGGGTGCAAGTCATCACAGTGGGGACTCGTGGTAAAGGCCGGGGCAGGGTGTTGGTGTGTGCCCCAGCCCCTTGAAATGTTAATTTAGCCTTTAAAAATCAGCACGCAAACTCTTAAAAGCGGATTATGCCCCCGGCCCAACGCCAACCCTCCGCATCTTTTCGCTTCCTCCCCACCCCGCTCCATTTTTTGTGATGCCCCCTTCCAATCTGCATCGTCTCCCATCTTTGTACCAGGTTCAAAAGTTCCAGAAGTTAAGTTGCTGCTGCTTCACTTGGCAGGACTTGCCCTTGGCCTGAGCATGGCTCCTCCATCTTGGACAGGGAGGGGGCTTTTCACCCCCCTTCCTTTTCTTCCTAGGCATGTGCAGCAGTGTTTCCCAAACTTGGGTCTCCAGCTGTTTTAGGACCACAGTTCCCATCATCCCTGACCACTATCATGCTAGGCATGATGAGAGTTGTAATCCAAAAACAGCTGGAGACCCAAGTTTGGGAAACACTGATGTAGACTAATTCCTGCAAAAGAATTGCTACTTGCCGCCCCAGGTGTGTCAAAAGTATTAAAAGGTTTCATGTGTGCCCATAGTAAGGTAGCACCAACAAGACTCCACCCTAAAACGCCTTTTCCTGTTCTTCCAAGGCAACTGGGCCTTTATGTATTGCATATCCTCATCTGTCAGTGAGAGGAACTTTCTTTGGTTTTTCTGTTTGTTGGAATGGTTATGGCCTGTTACTACACAAATCCTCCTTTCCCCCATCTGGCTAGAAGCCAGGCCCCATACAATCCATTGCTGGTTTGGGAGGAGTTGGTTTAGAGAGCCTTAGACGCTCATCTTGTTGTATTCTCTCCCCTCATTTTTTTTTTAACTCCTACCTTTTTTACCACACCCTGTTCTAGCAAACATGGCTGTCTTAGCTCTGGAGCTTTTTACATTTTTTTACACTCCTCTCTAAAGTCCTCCTCAAAAAGCAGCTTAGCTTGGGAAGTGGGGAATGGTTTGCACTGGTTCCTCTTCTCCTTTACTCGCCCTTTAAGGGAGCAGCAAACACCTAATTGTGTGTATCAGCCGTGTAACTAACAAGCATATCTTGTAAAATTTACTAACACAAGTGGGTTTATGCAGCTTATGAAAACCCAGTTGTGCTTCTGAACAAAAGGGGTATGTGTGTAAGAAATGCTTATGTTGGCACAACAAGCTTCTGCATGACCAATGGTTCTTAGTTGTGTTCTCACAAGTGTATGCAGCAGATAGTTACAATCTGTTGGGATTCTGGGCATTTCTTAGTAGGTACGTTGTTTTTTTACGATACTTGTCTACTAATATATAGTTTGACATGATTAAAAATAAGTTGTTAAACTAGTTCTAGTGACTATACTATTTTAACTTGCACTTGTTTTTTATTTAGTCACTCTATTAAATGACTAGTAACTGAAGGCAGATCGATTTCATGCAAACATGCAAGTTGCAGTGTTGGGCCAGTATTTAAATTCTTAAGGCTAGTTCAGTTCCTAGGAGACAGTTGCTGACTAGAAGAAAACTTGAAGCTTATTAGATGCAAAATAGTTTGCATTTAAAAAAGAATATAGTCCTGAAATATTAAAGTTCCTTAAAAAAATTACTTGGCCCAAGTCCCTGCAAGCCAGAGTTTGCTAGCCTCTAGATTCCATCTATCACATATAAAATCACATTGAATTGTTGAGTAAAGGAGGAATTTATTATGAGATACTAAAGCTTATCTTAGATAATGCTGAAAAAGTATAATTCCATAATCATTTTTTCCCTGTTTCCCCAATCAATTAGTACATAAAAATTAAGTTAACAGTGTCTTTGTGAGTACAGGGATAGGTGCTTTGGCTCATCACTGGGGTGCCTGCAACAGGAACCCCCCTTTTTTGTTGGGCTACATCGAGGTGGGGACATGGAAATCCTTGGGGGAAGTTGAAGTGTAAGCAAATTTTCCTTTTAATACTGTTACAATATAAAATGCAAACTTACTTAGTGCATAGCTATGTACTTACTGTTTTCAGTATATATGAATTTTGCGGAGGAATCCTATTCATATTTACTCAGAAGTAGAGCCCACTCTATTTAATGGTGAATATACCTCCTGGTTAGCTTGCATAGGACTGCTGCTTCAAAGCACAACTGCTTCAATGACATTGGTTTGTAAATTCCAAATTGTGGATATACCCAATAGTAGACAGAAAGAGCAGTACAAACTGCTGAGAACACACATCTTAGTTCTTGCTGTTTTGCACATTTCTTTACACATTTGTCACTTGAGATGTATATTTTTTAGGACCTACCTTATTTCTGTGATGTAGGTTGTTTTAAACCATTTCTCACACTAAGTTTCAATTGTTGTATCCCAGCCTGGAACCCTTGGATGAAAGGTGGATAATAAAATATAGTAGTAATACATAGAGCACATTTTGAATAAGTAAAACTGTGTCTCAAAAGCATTTTGCTATTCAAAAGGAAAAGTATTTAACATTTCCCCCAAAATTTCCAGTTTTACCATTTGCAAATACTGAATGAAAGAAAAAGCCCTTGGGGAGGGGGCAGCGGTGATAGTGGTGATGGTGATTTATTAAATTTTTATATATACCCTTCATCTGAAGATCTCAGGGCAGTTCACAAGATGGTTCCCTCTCCCTTGAATTTTTCCCACCTTCACATTTCTGTAAGTCAGAAATTTTTCAATATTTACTCTTCTCTACTTCAGCTCTCTCTGATGGAAAATATAATGCATGATGTGCCCCTTGGTCTAAATAAGAGTGGATGGTAGCAGCTCTTTGGGGGCATTGATGACTTACTGCTCAGTACTGTATTTGGGAACACTTGTCTCTTCTTGACACATTTGTGTGATAGCTCAGGGTGGCTGAGCCACTACACCTGGCCAGTGGAGCCAATTTCCAGTATTTCCCAGGAATGGAGTTGCTGAAAGCAGAAGAGCATGTCCTATTCTGTTAGCATTAATAATAGCTCATCTTAAATGCAGAACTTTAATATTGATCCCAAATACTAAAAAACTGAGCCAAGTGAAATTCCATCATTATTATTTTTTTAATTATTTTCATTTTGGTTAATGTTCTGATTATAAATGTTACATTCTTCCCTGGGTGCTATGGAGTCAGCAGTTGCCTTTGGAAGTTTTTAATGCTGCATTTATCTAAAGTCAGCAATCCGTTTTAAGGTATAGATTTTTGTTTATAAGAAGCAGCTACTAAGTGGGCACTAAAATCTGCTAAAACAGCTTGCTTGTTTAATGTGTTTTAAATACACATTTATGACTTCATAAAAGCCCCATAGGGCAACAAGTCACATAATGAATGTTCAGCAGATTAAATATGCTTGGTGTACTCATCCCTGTCATTTGATGTTCCTCATATCCCTGTGCCTTTATACATGAGCCATTTTTGATGCAGCTGACAGCTAGGTGGGTTTTGCTTTATAACTGTGAGGAACCTGACCAAGATTGAATTCTTTAATGGTCTTCTTCAAGTATGATGCATTTAAAGGTGCTAGCACTTGATGTTTATATTTGTGTCAGCTTTACTGACATTCAGCAGCTCATCTTTATCCTGCACATACTCCAATCTTCATTGAACATATGCTGTAATAAAGTTAAAAAACTCCATGTGCTGTTCCATCCGTTTTTCCTCCTCTGTCTTTAACTTAAAGTTTTCTTTATGTTCTACAGTACGACAGTCGTACAGTTTGTTCGACTTCCAAAAATGTTCAACAACCAAGGCGCGGCTTCCTATTGACTGCAGGAGCTTCCTGCAGTCAATCGGAAGCTGCGTCGGATGTTTGGGTTCCAAAGAACGTTTGCAAACCAGAGCGCTCACCTGCAGGTTTGCGGCGTTCAGGAGCCAAAACGTTCAAGTCACAAGGCATTCGAGATCCAGTGTACAACTGTACAATGGTTACAGACTAGCAGATGGAGATGGCTGTAAAAATGAAGGCTTCTTCGTGTGTTTTATGTATACTTCAAGTGCATGTACATGCATGTCCCTTTAAAAAAACCCAGATGCAGAGGGTATGTTATTAATGTAAGTAGCTTACACACATGCCTTCTGAGCTTCACTTGCTCTTCATTAATAATCTAATTTCCACTTCTAGATCTTTATGAAAGTTAACTTTATTATAGACATTGAATGTCTATAATAATGTATAGACTCTGATGTGTGGCAGCTTGGTGTCTCAGTATTTCAGATAAAAGTGGTATACATGGCTCTGAATCTTTTAGCCTTTATATGTGCCACAACCCCATCAAAAACAGCTTACTAAGTTTTGGGGAAACTTAGGTTATGCTGCAGTATAGCATGGAGTTCCCTGAAGCAGTTCAGACTGCTTGAATAAGAATGAGAATCATTGGTTTGTATTCTCTGAACTAATCTTCCCTGTAGGCCCACATTACCTCTGGGCCTCCCTAAAACTTTTTGGTTTGAGCTGAATGTTTTCCTGTAAGTGAACTGATCCCAAGTACAAAAACATACCGTAACTTGGCACAACTGAGCCTGAAATGATTAGTTACCATAATCATTTGTAGAGGCTACTGTACTGTCATTTCTCCATCTGTGGTTAAAATGGGATAGAATTCTTACCCATTGTATCTTCACAGTAATAAATGGCAATCATTGCCCCAGTGCATTCATGGAAGAACTGAGAATGGATTTATACCTTAGTCGTTCTCATTCAAGGGCCTCTAGAGATGCTGCTGTTGTTCTCAGACCTTGTATGTAGCAAGAGTGGTCAAAAGTTCACATTCTCCCTTAGAAAAGACGTTGACTACATGAGTGGTGTCACATTTATTTTAAATAACTGTTTTCCTGATGCTACTGTTGTTTTCTCTGGAAAGAGGGAGTTGAGGAATCTACCATTTGGGGACCAGTGTTAGTCATGCAGCAAAAACATACGTTTTCTTAACA